TTACTCTACAAACACACACCTTTGTTTACGTTTGTGTGTTGCTCGGCAACCACTTTGTTGCAACCACAACTGATTCTGAGGAACTACATTGTTTGGTGGAAGAATACTGTTTTTATTAATATCATTACACTTTATTTGCTCGGTTTTATTTTGTGAAACCTTACTACGTATATGGAATAACAGTTTTATAAAAGCAATAAGCCCCGTGAAGCCACGGTTTACAGTGAATTTATAACAGCTAAGGGGGTTTTAGACACTCCGCTTCGCATCGTGCCTAACAACGCCCCTTAGCTGTTATAAATTCACTGTAAACGTCTCGGTTACGTATGGTAACCCTGGTTCCCTGAAGGAGGGAATGGAGACGTCACGTCGGATGACCGACGAATTGGGATCTCGCTTAGAGAGACCAATCCACTTAGAATGTAAACTAAATGAGCCAATGCACATTGGCATGCGATTATTGCATCCAGCTGTTGCTGATCACAGCGTGAGTATAAGTAGGCAGCTGGTGCAGCGCATATTCAGGTTTTCGCTGAGGAGACGAGCCGGTAACCCGGCCGCTCAGCGGTGGTACAGAAGCTATGTCGACAGGATGTGACGTCTCCGTTCCCTCCTTCAGGGAACGAGGGTTACCATACGTAACCGAGACATTCCCTTTCAGTCGGTCACTCTCGACGTCACGTCGGATGACCGACGAATTGGGATCCCTACCAAAGGGCCATAGCTATTGCCCCTTCCAGTGTCCTGTGGAAGCCTCCTGCGCCCCTACTTTTTGACGCAGGCCAGGACTTACCACAAGAAGACCAGCTACTGCTGCTATGGCACTACCCACTCAGTAAGACTGGACACTGGGAAAATGTACCCGTACCACTTGGAACAGGGACGTTGCGGAAGCCCCATCCTTCCCGAAGGAGGTTGTGGAAGCACTTACACATATGAACAACCGTTTAGGCGCATATGGAAGATTAGAGGTGATTGTAACCCTCTTGCCTTAGGTCTTACATATGGAATCCAGCCCTCTACCGGTTCTCACGGATTCATCAAGTGAGGGCCTGGCACCGGACGCTCCGCCACGTCTGGCTGCCGAGGGGATGGAGGAGCTCGACAGGGTCTATGATATGGACTCTCTGGAGCGGCTTTAGCGAGCCGACCCAAAGCCGGGGCATCTCAGTGCTTCTACCCATTTGAGGAGAGAACACAGGAGGATAACAGCTCCACACGAAGGCTATAGAATCTAGCGAATGTGTTAGGGGTCGCCCAGCCCGCAGCTCTACAAATATCTGTCAGCGAGGTGCCACGAGCCAGCGCTCAGGAGGATGCAACACTTCTAGTAGAGTGAGCTCGCAACCTGAACGGGCAGGGCACACCCTGTGCCTGATAAGCCAGGGTGATGGCAAGGCGCACTGCCAGCAACTCGAGGCAATTGATGTGCCAGTGCAGTTGGGGGCCCGTCCAAACCCCTGACACTGCAAGCCCGTCGAACGTGGCCCCCCAGCCGGTGGTTGAGGACACAATTGCATCGCAACCGACCGCTCCACCGGAGGGACCTCCGTATACCCCCGCGCTGCCCCGCCCCGCCATCAAGGGTGGTGAGGGAGGACGAACCACTGGGGCGGTTTCTGGCAGTGAAAGGTGCCGTCCACGACCCAGTGAGCTCATCATGCACCTCCGGGAAGAAAGGCCCTGAGAACCTGAGAAAGAGTGGGGCCCTGAGAACCAGCGCGAGCCACTCCGAGAAACCAATCGTCCAGCCTCGAGGGTTCGGGACGCGGTGGAGGTTTCCACTCGAGCCCGATGCTCTCGGCGGCCCGGGAAAGCATAGCCATTATTTCCGGATCTGAATCCGGCACCGCTGGTAGCCCAGAGGGATCATCCTCTCCAGCAAAGTCTGGCTCACCCTCCGATGCAGCAATCAACATCCGATCGTCGGGGGGAGCACTGAAAAATACAAGTGGTACCCCCCCGGGAGGGTCCAGCCTGTTCTCTTGGCGGCTCCACTGGCTGCGAAGTGCCGGCGGAAGGAGGAGTCCTCGGAGGGGAATTCCTCACCGTCACCGTAAGACCAGTCCAGATGCTGCCGCCAGGGGGAAACCTAGGTCTGGGCAGCGGCACGGGCACCCCGCCCCTTTGCAGGAAACGAAGTCTGGTCCGCAACTCCAAGACGGTCATTTTCCCGCAATGGGAGCATGACTCATCCACGAAAGCCACCTCAGCGTGCTTAAGGCCCAGACACGAGAGGCAGCGATCGTGACCATCACCCGGCGCCAGGTAACGACCGCATCCAGAAACGCACGGATGGAAGGGCATCTTTAAAAGACGCGTCTTTAAAAAGACGTTTCCACCTGTGAATGCTCTTTTAGAACTGCTCTTTTAGTGTGCTGAAGCGCACAGGGGAGATGGCCGCCTGCAACACAAACAGGGGGTAGTGCAGCCTGATGTGTGCAACCCACTCGACACGGGAAGAACCACCGCCGCTGAAGAGCCGTACCACCAGCACGAGAGCTTCCTAAGAGAGTGCTTGTATTCGAACTCGTAGTTTCACTGAAGCAGAAGATCAGGAGCAGAACGATGAGACCGCTCGGCTCCGAAGCGAAAAGCTGAATATGTGCTGCACCAGCTGCCTACTTATACTCACGCTGTGATCAGCGACAGCTGGATGCAATAATTGCATGCCAATGTGCATTGGCTCATTTAGTTTACACTCAAAGTGGGTCGCTCTAAGCGAGATCCCAATTCGTCGGTCATCCGACGTGACGTCGAGAGTGACCGACTGAAAGGGAACCATGGCTTCACGGGGCTTATTGCTTTATTTACTCACCACATCCTCTAGTTGGACCTGGATCTGCCGATGAACCTCTGCCATCTGGAACAGCGTGTCACCTGAATCAATATGAATTATGAGAAGACGTCAAAAGACATTGCACACAATCAGAAAAACTCAAAGCATGAGAGCCATCACAATTTACAGACGTACTATCAAACACGACCCGATAATGCCATCTCACTCACATAAACCTGACTACATCAAGCTCACACTAGGGTCATTTTAAAGTTCGGTCTATAATGTAACAACTGCATGTTCATTTTCTAAAATGCATGAACTTGTCTAAACTGTAGGCTGTGGTGTATGTGCAATTATTTGTCTGAACACAATTGAAAAGAGCGATTTCTTCCTTCAGAGGATGTGATATGCGTGGCATTGTCTGTCCATTCTTGCGTTTCATTGAGGGTGAATTTGTGGTGTTTTGTTGTGGGTTCCAGTGGGCCGAGCCTTGGATGTTGGCCTTCTTTATCCCCTACTGAGCAACAGTGTGTGTGCGGCTTGGCATCTCTCCCTCCCTCTCGTCCACCCCCGCTGTTTTCAGCAGCACAATGAGATCATGTGGTGTTGTTAATCTTTCAACAAAGGCCTCTCTCTCTTTTGCCCCTCTCTCGCTTTCTCTTACTTTCTTCATCTCCATTTTAACGTACAGGCTTTGCCTCTTCATTCTCTTCTGCTGTAGTCACTTGGTTTCACGCTTTCATTTCCTGCAAACGCTGATGTACTATGAACTTGAACAATGTAGTTATATTTACTAACATTTTCACATTCAGTTCTCACCACTAACTTTACTCTGCCGGACGTGTCGCTTCAGAAACAGATTTGAATAGCCCTAATTAACTAAAACTAAAATTATACACACAATAATATTACTAAAATAAAATGAGAATGGGAAATCTAAAAATAAAAACATTCAATGGTACTAAAATAACACTGGGTCTAAATCATGGGAACACTCTCTCTCTATATATATATAAATAAGTCAATGAAGTCAACATTAAGGCACTTATTGATGATGTAGTGTAGTTTGCAGAAAAACACACTTTGTAATTATAAAATTAGATTTGGGTCACATAATAATATTAGAACATAATTAGCATGTTGCAACATTGGCGCTTTTATCAGAACAACAGTCCTGTCTAATAGCACCTTGTTTCTGTCCTAAACACATCCTCCAATCATCACAACCTTCAAATAAATCCCTCATAACCGTCACTTTAAGTGCATTAACTGCTCTCCCTGTTACTTAACTCTCTCAAAAACACATAAAAAAGAGTTTAGTTCTAACATAAACTCTCTTGTTTTATGCCAATTCATTTGAAATAATTAAGTGGAATTACATGACAACATCAATACTTTAACTGCAAATGTGCTGTAAGTATACTGTACTTGCAATGACTTCACTTTGGTGCAGTAACTAGGTTGTGAACCTGACTACACAATCAGTTTGAGAGATTATTTAACTTTGAGGACATTTATTTACTCAGATCTTTCTGGTGTATTCACTGTGTTTGGGTCTGAAGTGTCTTACCTAGTTCCTTTGAGCCCTGGCTGTCACTGGCCAGCTCTCCTAGTTTGACCAGAGTGTCAAAATAACCCTTCGCTGCTATTGTGACGCCTGTAGAGACAGAGAAAGACAGAGAGAGAGAGACATAGAGAGACATAGAGAGAGAGTGCATACATGATTGTTGTTTGGCAGGCGAAGTGCTGATGAACATACATCAAAGTTCACACTGATTATCAGTGGACTTTTGCCCATTACAGAGAAAATTAACTATTAAATAATGATGTCTGACCCGTCAGAGCCTTTTCATAGTGTTTGCCCATGGTGACAAAATTCTTCAGACTGGGGTTGAACTGGTCCAGAATGCCCTGAACACAGAATCAGCAACACATTCAATACATGAGGTGGAATAATGGAAAATGCTCTGTGTCAGTGATGCTCTTTTTTATTCTTATTCAAAATACTGTTAAAAATACAATTCACAATGACTGAAATATACCTTTAGAATTCATTTATATATCATACCTGGCAATAAAGCTCATTCTGATTCTGATATATATATATATATATATATTTGTTATTTAAAATGAAACAAGTCTAGATGGTGTTTAAACAGTTTGAAAAAAAGAATTAAGTGTTTTGCCCTAATTTGTTTTTTTTCCTAAAAAGAATAAAAAAGAAGTACAGAAGCATTTTTTTTATATTTATAACAAATATATATAATTATCGCTCTCACTCTCTACATATAGACACACATATGTGACCCTGGAGCACAAAACCAAAAAGTCTTAAGTCACTGGGGTATATTTGTAGCAATAGCCAAAAATACATTGTATATGATGATGTATATGATGTATAAATCTCAATTTCAAAAAATTGACACTTAAGACTGGTTTTGTGCTCCATGGTGACATAGTAATTAAAAAAAAAAAGTTTTTTCTTTGCTTGACAAAATTTTTTGTTATGTGGCAAGAAAGAAAAAACCCCAGGAAATTATATAATATAGAGGATTCATAAAGAGGTTATAATTTTTTTCATTATTTATGTCAATTATTTGTTGTTGGTATATGCATGTTTTTTTTTTTTACACAAAATGTGAGAATAAAAACAAACATGAAGAAAAGATTACATTTCTAAGATGTCTCCTTTTATCATCCTGGATTGTCTATTTATTGTTCCCTTTCACTGAACACATACCTTGTAGACATTTTCTGTCATTTTGTTGACCTCATCTGACCGTGACATTGTGCTTCTCTCTCCAGATCAGTTCACCTCACTTCTAGACGTCACGAAGTCACAGCACACGCGGATACACGGAAAGAAAGAGAGCAAGAACGTGAGACAGAGAGGATGAATCCGGCTCATTCAGTGACTGCATTAGCTAGAGACCTTCTGCCTTAAAGAAGAGTGTTAGTAACCAACAACACTCTTCACGGCAGCCATTGACTTCCATGGTATTTTTCTTCTCCATACTATGGAAGTCAATGGCTACTGTCAAACATTTGGTTTCCAACATTCTTCAAAATATCTTCTTTTGTGCTCAACAGAAGAAAGAAACTCCTACAGGTTCATAACAACTTGATGGTGAGTAAATGATCACAGAATTGTAATTTTTGGGTGAACTAACCCTTTATGAAATTGTAACTAGAATGTTTAGATGTTTCGATCACATCAGTTTACCTGCTCTTATTCTAAAACACTGAAACTAACTGAAGTTGTGACAACATCCCCACTGGTCTGAGGAATGCTTTCCTCTAGATGTTATAACATTGCTGAAGGGATTTGCTTCTATTCAAGCATTAGAGAGGTCAGGCACTGTGTGATTGAGGCCAGACTCGCAACCGTCGGCACAGTTTATCTCAAAAGTCTGGACTCATCAAGATCCTGCACATGCCACTTCTGTGTGTCTTGACGAACCATTTTTGTATGGATGTTCATAAGGATATTGTCATTCAAAAACAGGAAACCGGTGTCACAATGCCACAAAATAATGGTCTAAATGTCACTGCATGCTATAGTGTCAGTATTTTCCTTCGGCCCGAACCATGGAAAACCCATGACAGCTCCAGATATTTAAACCAAACCCGATCAACAGAAAGTGATCTTTCCTGGAATTAGGAAGGAATTCATTTTTTTTTCTGCAGGAATTTGACTTGTTTTGTTGGACATGTGAAATCCTATATCATTTTAAACAACAATTAGGCATGCAGCATTGCTTTTATCAAGTCAACTTGAATTTATTTGTACGGTGCTTTTCACAACTCACAGTGTTTTAAAACAGATTTATTGAAAATCATGATGTTAAAGGGTTAGTTCACCCAAAAATGAAAATTAGGCTTGCGTATTACTCACCCCCGAGGCATCCTAGGTGTATATGACTTTCTTCTTTCAGACGAATCCAGTCGGAGTTATATTAAAAATTGTCTTTGATCTTTCAAGCTGTTTAATGCCACTCAGCGGGTGTTGCATTGCTTCAGTCCAAAAGCAGTTAAATAAAAAGCGCCCATCCATAATAAAAAGTGTCTCACACGGCTCCGGGGGGTGAACAAAGGCCTCCTGTAGCGAATCGATGCGTTTTTGTAAGAAAAATATCCATATTCAAAACGTAATAATCACTTTAATGTAGCTTGCGCCAACAGTTGTACACAGAAGCAGCTTCGGGAGGATGACGTATGAGGTCAGCGTTGCACATGCGCCGATGAGTCTCGTGAAAACCAACGTTTGTTAACAGGAGCAAAGTAAGCAAAGTTTCCTTACCTTAGCAAAGGAAAACCAGTCTCCTCTTGGCTTATATTGAAATCCTCCGACATTCTTCTTTACAAATCCTCGTTACTTCTAATTCTTGACCGTTGTTTTGTTTTGATCTCTCCGCTGCGCTTCCGCGTGCGTCACTTCTGAGCGGCACATGCGCAGCACTGACCTCATACGTCATTCTCCCGGAACTGCTTCCGTATACAACAGTGAGCACAAGCTAGATTCAAGTGATTATTACGTTTTGAATACGGATATTTTTCTTACAAAATCGCATCGATTCGCTACAGAAGGCCTTTGTTCACCCCCCGGAGCCGTGTGAGACACTTGTTTTATGGATGGGCGCTTTTTATTTAACTGCTTTTGGACTGAAGCAATGCAACACCCGCTGAGTGGCATTAAACAGCTTGAAAGATCAAAGACAATTTTTAATATAACTCCGACTGGATTCGTCTGAAAGAAGAAAGTCATATACACCTAGGATGCCTCGGGGGTGAGTAAAACGCAGCCTAATTTTCATTTTTGGGTGAACTAACCCTTTAATGTTTAAAATATCTTAATTTCTGCTTTCGTTGTAGTTGGATTCATCAGATTAGAGCTGGACAATAATATAGTTTACATTTTGTGATGATACAAGCAATAAAGCAGTTGAGATTTGCTATATATGTTGCTTTATGTGTGTGTTTAAAATTGGACATAATTATATATCCAACTTTATATAAAGAGCTGGGCAATGATGTAGTAACGTTTTGCAATGAAATGTATGCAGTAGTATATCATTAATACATTTTACATGAGTGGCAAAGGATGTACTATATATCTGACTTTTATTATATCACTTCACTTCAAGCATTCATGGCACACATTAAAACATTATTTATTAATCTAATTCATTCTGCTAGCATATCTAATATCTGATATAATTGAACATGCCACAAAAATGTCTTGCAATCAATATGTAGTCAGGTTGATTCAATCATAAAATTTCTACTCGAATAATACCAATTTAGTTATTTGACAAAACGTTTCACATACACTTTATGAATTTCAAAATAAGGACCAGCCCTGTTAGTGACCCTCGAGAGATTTCATAGTCTGAGTCTGGCCAAAGCCATCCTAATACACTGTTATTGAATGTCTTAAGTTCATGAAATTGAGTCTGACATGTCACAGTGCCCTGAGGAGAGCAGTTCTTCCCAAACGCAAGCGCAAGAGTCAAGCCGCTGAACAAACACTGCGCTCACACAGTTTCCCTTCTGGAAAGATCGTGAATCAGAGATTCCAGTCAGGATTACCCATCACATAAAGCTTCAGCTCTGAAGGCCAGTGTTTACAGCAGGTCAGCGCTCTCATGTGTGTTATTAGAGGAAGATTAGGAGGAAGAATTTGTCCTAAATGAAGAGAATGAGTGAGATCCCCCGAAAAATAACATTCTCATCACACGACACTTCATTTCACGTCTTCTCTTCCCTTGATTCACACTGAGAGCTGATGACTAATAGTTCACCAACTATTGTGATTCACCCTCAATTCATGACATGTAAGTATGCTTAGAGTGTCATTAAAGACTCTACGAAAAGGGGCGGAGCTACATAAGGACTAATGTTTTTGTGCTAAAGTTTTGAGAACATTATTAAAGACCAGATAACTTTAAACAAATGTTCCATTAATGTTACTGCGAGAACATTTGTTCATATCTTGGGGAGAACCTTGCCAAAACATTAGACAAGGTTCTGAGAACGTTCTCTGTTAGCTAGAATAGAAGTGCCCTTAAAGTGACAACACTGAAGCTTATTTGTGACACTGGACCACAAAACCAGTCATAAGGGTCAATTTTTTGAAACTGAGATTTATACAATCTGAATAAATAAGCTTTCCATTGATGTATGGTTTCTTAGGATAGGACGAGCTGCAGGGTTTAATTTGGATTTGTCTGTGCATGTTTTCTTTACTCTCATAGATTTTGTTACCATTGCCATACATTATACGACTGATAGACTGCAACGGTTAAAGTTAAAAATCATCATATGTGTTCTACTGAAGAAACAAAGTCACCTACATCTTGGATGCCCTGGGGGTAAGCAGATAAACATCACATTTCCATTTTTGGATGAACTACTCCAGGGTCACATTTAGCCCTAACATCCGCATATTAGTAGTACCTTAGAGTAGTAATATGTACTACCATGCACCTGTCAGGGGTAAATAATGCACAAAGTTGTCCCTTTAAGGGTTCTGCCCCAGTGACAAGGGCGCATCCCTTTTTGCAAATAGTCAGCCTTTAGTTCACATAACAGCCATTAACCATGATTTGATATGTCTAATAGAAACAAGTGGTATTGGGGGGCGGGACATTCCTATTCTAGAGTGACACTGATTGGACAAAAATGTTCAAGCAGCTCTGAGTGCAACATGAGTCATCTGAATATATGATTCAAGATTCAAGATTCAAGTAGCTTTATTGGCATGGTAAAAAAGTATCTTTACATTGCCAAAGCATAGAATATATGTCTATTTCATGGAAGAGAAGACTGTAGATTTTAAGTGAGTGCATCTGCCAAAAGTTACATGTCTGCAGCTTTTCAGAGTCCAATTAAAAGTAGATGACCTCAAAGCAAAACCACATGATAAGATTTAGGAATATTAATCTTTAGGACTAACTCCAGACAGACACAGAATGTATTCCTACTTACTGCATGAAAGGTTATAGATATAATTGTGTCACTGCATATTTTGTTGCCACGTTCCATAATCAAATAAATAAATATATTTCTATAAATTGTGACTGTATACAAATTTGTGCCTCTAATTTTTTTCCCAGCTGACACCTGTTCCCTGTAAGAGCTGGTGATTAAAGTGATGTTATTGCAATGATACAGAGATGAAATATGAGGTAAAGGTGGCGTTATGATTCTGCTGATGTAACAGTGAAAGGCTGGAAAACACGTGATAAGATGATATGAACATGACATTTCAATAGATGTTCTCTTCATTTTAGCTGCTTCTCAATGCAATAATTCACAATCAGCAAAACAAAGTTTAGTAAGCAATGCAACTTTATCAGCCGGTGGATTTACAATGCCAATCACGTCCATCATAGTAACCGCATTGTCATATTTCTTTCAAATGGCACTTGTTGCACTCGTTGTAGCAGATTGTTAGTTTGATTGTATTATGAAGTAAATTAACTCCAGTGGTTTGTGTTATGTGGAGGTTTTCTCCTACCTTTTCAGTGTTCATGGTTTCCTCAGCGCTTTGTCTGTGGTTTTTCTTCTTTTCCTTCTGACCTTCCCTTCTTCAGTGGTGGGGGTAGTCGGTTTGTTTGACCCAGTAAATCGCTCGCCCACCCCTCACCCCTCGCCCTGTGTCTCCCAAAGCCCTCACTGGATCCAGGTCAGAACACACTCACTGCTCGCTGCTCCTCAAACTCATCAAACTTTACTCTTCATTCCGCTCGAAATGTCCATTTGCCGTCGCGATGTAGAGCTCGAGCGGCTCGGTCTCTGTCTCTGTCCCGGACAATGTCTCCTTACTCTCTGTCTGTGTCTCTCACTGGGACTGAATGTCAATGAGGTAACGGGACAGCGCTGTGAATAGCGCCTCTGCTCATTACAGGAGCAAATCACACACACACACACACACACACACACACACACACACCAACACTTCACTTTTAATTCCATGAATACAATCTCAGAAGTGGCATGTGCAAACAAATGTTGCTAGACCCTTTTCTCACGTTCCTTTTGCCTGGACAGTATTTTTGTTGGTTTTGAATGTAATAGAATTTTATTACCATGTCAATCAGGGTTGATAAGGACAATTGAAAATTAATTAAAACAAAAAAAAAAAAAAAAAAGGTTCTTCTGTGTCATCACTGTGAATTAGAACCTTTATTTTTAAGAGGGAAAAATACACACAAAAAATATTGTAAAGAAGCTTCATTTCGCATTTACAGTTTTTCTCAATCGTTCTGACACTTTTCTCCAAAGTAATGTAATTGCTTTCAAAACAATGTACACAGCCATCTAAACACATGCTTATCTTAACCAAACTGTTCAACTTTACCGCAAAATGAAGCACTGCATTTTTTTCTTGTAAAGCATTTATTTAAAGTAAATATTAACATCAAGTGTTTTCTATTGATTATAAAACATATCCAGCTATAGATGCACAAATACACTAATGAAAATACATGTTTGTTGTAGAGTTCTTCAACAGGGATATATGTGCAATGCAGTATATAGTGCTGTGAAAAAGTGTTTGCCCTGATTTGTTCTGTTGTTGTGTAGATCTAAACGAAATACAACATAAAACAAAGGCAACCCGACCCATCAGCCATGTGAAAAACTAATTGCCCTTTAAACTTAAATCTGGTTGTAAAAAAAAAAAAAAAAGGTTCTTCTGTGTCATCACTGTGAATTAGAACCTTTATTTTTAAGAGGGAAAAATACACACAAAAAATATTGTAAAGAAGCTTCATTTCGCATTTACAGTTTTTCTCAATCGTTCTGACACTTTTCTCCAAAGTAATGTAATTGCTTTCAAAACAATGTACACAGCCATCTAAACACATGCTTATCTTAACCAAACTGTTCAACTTTACCGCAAAATGAAGCACTGCATTTTTTTCTTGTAAAGCATTTATTTAAAGTAAATATTAACATCAAGTGTTTTCTATTGATTATAAAACATATCCAGCTATAGATGCACAAATACACTAATGAAAATACATGTTTGTTGTAGAGTTCTTCAACAGGGATATATGTGCAATGCAGTATATAGTGCTGTGAAAAAGTGTTTGCCCTGATTTGTTCTGTTGTTGTGTAGATCTAAACGAAATACAACATAAAACAAAGGCAACCCGACCCATCAGCCATGTGAAAAACTAATTGCCCTTTAAACTTAAATCTGGTTGTGCCTCCTTTAGCAGCAAAAACTTCTATCGTACTTGTACTGTTTTGTCAATAATTATTTTTCTCTTAAGGACTAGAATCAAAATGTATCTCTAAATCCTTGTTTCAAGCTCTACAAGAATTTGTACATTCAATTTTGTTTACCAATTTTTCAGCGTTTTGGATTTTCGGAAAAAGCTTTTTTTCCCCCTCTTGGTCCGGATTCACATGACACTTGGCATGCATCATCCCAAAACCCTCATGATTGAAAGTTTTCTAAATAATTTTGGTTTATCAAAGTTATAAGCCAATGAAATGGCCTGACATTGCCCATTCTGACTATTGGACCTATTTATTGTGTAAATAATGTGCTTTACCTACAATCCACATAGACTATAGGTCATGGACTTCATAGGGGACATACGTCAAAAACATGTCACAAATTATTCAGCAGCTGTTGTGAACAACTCATTTTTGTGGAATTTACTATGTTCTCTATGCACAAGATACATGAGGCTGTACTACATTTAGTGAGAATCTTTGTACAAAACGGCTTATACCACTTTAAGAACCCTACTTTTTAAACTCATGCTCTGGTTTGCAGGACATTTGATTTGCACCATTTTGACTCCAGTTGAATTTAATTGTTTAGCTGATATGGGCTGATGTATTTTGGGGTTTGGCTCATTATGACTAATTGGCCTAGTTCTTGAAAACACAATATACAAACCTCACAAAACTGGGTATACATGAAAAATTATGTAAAAACTTACAAAATGTCAATTAATTTCTGATGCTGGGTGTTTCTGCAGTTTCTAAATGATAAATCATTTATGTCAATGTGAGTGACAGAAAAAAGGCTGTAATACTTGTCCACTAGAGGGCGACTAACCACAGGATAAGATATATATATATATATATATTAATGTTATTGAATTGAATACATATTTGTCTGAAAATAACAATGTTAACTGAATATACTGCTTACTAATTAAAATGAGTAGACAATATAATTTGTATCTTAGTGCTTTGACAATGATGATCGCTGTGTGCGGTTATATTTTTATTTATTTATTTATTTGCTTGTACTTTTTATTGAGCTGTTATCATTATAAATAGTATTTAAAATGAGTATTGAAAGTATTTTAAAGTAACTGAGTAATTTAAAAGTATTTTAAAATAAGAAAAATTGAGTCTTGAAGTTCAGAGTGAGCTCTGCTGCCTTCTTGCGTTTGGATCCAAAACTTCAGCCTTAATATTTTTTTGTGTGATTAGCTTGAAAAGTAGTAAGCTGACATAACAGAAACGTCAATGTTTTATATGCAGTGATGCAAAAAAAAAGAAAGAACGAAAAAATTGTTAAAGTAATCAGATGACATGCGTTTATGATCAAAGCACTCTGACAATAGAAATAAACTTCAAGTGCTGGAGAAATGTTTTCTTTCTTTCTTTTTTAAATATATTTATTATGTTTTAATAAACCCCACATACGCACGACCGGAAGCAGCGGAAGCGCTCGACTGTGGCATAATAAAAGCTCCGCTGCTTTCGAGCAGTGTGTCACGCTCATTCAGCGCCTCGTTTCGCTTCGACAGCTTTCAGCCTCACCCTGCTTCATTCTACTACGTTAATAAATCATTAGCTCATCCATGAACATGATTTCTGCCCGAGTCCCGTCGGATTGCATCGGCTGTGGGGATGAAGAC